TCCTGTGGTCATAAATGTATTCTTCTACATTGGCTATATATGGATATTGAATATGACATCTTTCCCTGCTGCACTGAATACCCTCTCTCATAAATCAAATGCACACATACGTGTGGAGCTGTTTCCAGGCTTGCTCTCAGGTACCAGTGGTCTCTCTGTGAATGAATGCCCCATCATTTAAATTACTATTCACATCTGAGCGATCAAGTCTACACACCTTGTCCTTCTTGAGGAATGTTTCAACTTTTCTTTCACATAAACTTTGAAACAAATTTATCAGGTCCCACAAAAGACTGTCAAGTTTTTAAAATAATTGTATTACATCTACAGATAAATTTGGGGAATTCTGGCCTCTTTGATTCTGAATCTTGCAATCTATTAATATGGTAAAACTTTCCATTGATTAGTGTCTTCTTTAACGTCTTCTAATAAAGGTTTCTTTAATTTTTTGGGTGTTTTGTTTGTTTGTTTGTTTTCTGAGGCAGGGTCTTCTTGCTCTGTGGCCCAGGCTGGAGTGCAGTGTAGGCTCACTGTAACCTCCACATTCCGGGCTCAGGTGATCCTCCCACCTCAGTCTCCCAAGTCTCTGGGACTACAGGTGCACACCACCACATTCATCTACCAATAAAGTTTTTAAAAATTTTACACACAAAGAGCTTGCACAGTATTTTTAAAAAATCGATTGCAAGGAGCTTTGTATTTTTGTTGTGTTTTAAATCATTTTTTCATTAGACTTTTTTGTTGAAGTTTTTAAAAATGTTTATTTTATGTACAAAGAACTATCATGGGTTTTCATGGTAGATGTCTTGAACAATCCTTTGAAGGAAGATCATTTAGTCCAACGTAATGAAACCAATATCCTTCGCGTACTGACAGAAACACTGGCGGTACATATTGGGGCCATATTTCTGTATCAGACCATGCCGGTTTGAACGGACTTGACAAGAGTGAACATTGTTCTCTGGCCAAATGTTCGCAGGTGGCTCCAGTACAGCTGCTGGTGACCCATCTTGCTCTCAAGAGTGCAACGAGGTAAAAGGAAGGAGCCCTTTTCATTAGACTTTTAATTTTTCTGACTGTTGCTGGCATATAGAAATTTAATTGATGCTCAAACCTTACACACAGATTTTCTACACTGCAACCTTGCTAAACTCTCTTATTAATTCTAATAATTTATCTACAGATTATTTTGGGTTTTCCTTAGACCCTGATACTGACTACAAACAATAGTAGTTTTGTTGTTTTCCTTTATAACCCTTATACTCTTTTTTCTTCTTTTTTGCCTTACTGTACCTGCAAGGAAGCGATCTAATGTGAATGGGGTGGTGACAGCAGGCAGCCTCGGCTTGCACTTGGGTGATTTTTCCACTGATGAGTTCAGTGGGTGAAAATATATCATTTTCCTAATACTGTAGTATACTTCAATTAAAAGTGTAAATAAAGTTTCTTTAGGAATATTTTCTCAGCATCTTACCCTCTCTTGTTGCTGTGTGCTCCAAGGATGCCACTGAGCAGGTTTGTACCTGTCTGCTTTCAACCCGACTATATATTACTGGAGAAAAGAAGTCTTAAGGGAGGGTGCAGATGGCTGCTCTCAAGAATTTGAAAAACTACCAGGTGGAGGGAGTGCAGGGGGAGTCTCAGCAGCCCTGGAGGACAGAATAAAAGGGGAGGTGGAAGGGCAGGAAAGCAGATTTCCACAAGCAGGAAGAAGAGCTCCGCAGCACCATTGCTGTCTAAGCAGAGAATAGGTTTCTTTCTGAGATAGTGAGCTTCCCAGCATTGGAAGTATTCAAGCAGGGCTAGATGCACACCTAGGGTGCTCTATAGACCCCTCACCTCCAATATTGGGTGGGGTGTGGACCACATCATGTCTCCTGTCTCTTCCAACTTCAGTCTTGAGATTCTTAAAGAATTGGGTTCATTTTTTCTTTTTTTAAAATTGAAATTGTTTTTATGAACATCTTGTGGGTGTTAGTAAGTTCTGAGTATTCAACTTTCACTATGACCAAAACGTCTATATTTAAATACAAGGTATTTAACACATTGTGTAATATGAGCCACATCATTTGCTTTCATAATGAGGGCCCCTTACAAATAAGGCAGAGGCCACAATCTCAGGTGGAAGAAAAGAAATAAATCTATTTCAAGGTCAATAGCTGCACCCCGAATTCACTCAACTCTACCAAATGTACCTACACTGTCTCAGGAGGTCACCTCTACAATCTGACAAAACAATCAAAAGTACATTTTGTACTGAATGTAGTAGGAGGCTCAGATATAAATGTCTACTTTTATATATTTTTAATTTATGCAGTTTGTTTATTTAATTACTGGGTTATTTAAACTGACCTTGTTGCAAATGAGATATGATGATGCACACATGAAGAATAATTGGATCAGAAGTGGTGGCGCACATCTGTAATCCCAGCACTTCGGGAGGCTGAGGTGGGTGAATCACGAGGTCAGGAGTTTGAGATGAGCCTAGCCAACATGGCGAAACCCCGTCTCTATTAACAATACAAAAATTAGCCAGGTGTGGTGGCGGGCAGCTGCAATCCCAGCTAATGAAGAGTCTGAGGCAGGAGAATCACTTGAACCCAGGAGGCAGAAGTTGCAGTGAGCTGAGATCATGCCATTGCACTCCAGCCTGAGTGACAGAGCAAGACTTTTTTTTTTAGACAGGGTCTTGCTCTGTCTCCCAGGCCGGGGTGTAGTAGGGCAATCTTGGCTCACTGCAACCTCCACTTCCTAGGTACGAGTGATTCTCCTGACTCAGCCTCCCAAGTAGCTGGAAATACAGGCATGCACCACCATGCCCGGCTAATTTTTGTATTTTAGTATCAATAGATTTTCACCATGTTGGCCAGACTGGTCTTGAACTCCTGACCTCAGGTGATCCGCCTGCCTCAGCCTCCCAAAGTGCTGGGATTACAGACATGAGCCATGGCGCCCGGCAGTACTTGAATGTACTTAGTTTCTCATAGCCTATTTTCCCTCCTTTTTTAGAAATGGGACAAATAATATTACCAAATGAATGTAAATAAAGGTATTTAGGAAATAACATGAAAAAGTTTTAAAGCATTATTTACTTTTTCTTTTCTTTTTAAATTTTAGATTCAAGGGGTACCTGTGCAGGTTTGCTTCATGGGTAAATTGCATGATGCTGAAGTGTGGGCTTCTAATGATCCTATCTCCAAGTAGTGAGCATAGGCCAGTTGTGGTGGGTCATGCCTATGATCCCAGCACTTTAGGAGACCAAGGCAGGTGGGTGTATCACTCGAGCTCAGGAATTCGAAACCAGCCTGGCCAACATAGCGAAACCCTGTCTCTACTAAAAATACAAAAATTAGCCGGGTGTGGTGGCACATGCCTGTAGTCCCGGCTACTTGGGAGGCTGAGGCATGAAAATTGCTTGAGCCAGGGAGGTGGAGGTTGCAGTGAACTGAGATCGTGCCATTGCAGTACAGCCTGAGGGACAGAGGGAAACTCTGTCTCAAAAATTAAATAAAAGCAAATAGTGAACATAGGACCTGATAGGTAGTCTCTCAAGCCTTTGCCCCTCTCTCCCTTCCCACCTTTGGAATCCCCAGTGTTAGTTGTTCCCATCTTTGTGTCTGTGTGTACCCAGTGTTTAGTTCCCACTTCTAATTGAGAACCTATGGAATTAGATTTTCTGTTTCTGAGTTAATTCGTACCAGATAATGGCCTCCAGCTGCTTCCATGTTACTGCAAATATATTATTTGATTCTTTTTTACGGCAGCATAGTATTCTATGGTGTATATGTACCACATTTTCTTTATCCTGTCCACTATTGATGGGCACCTGGGTTGATATCATGTCTTTTCTATCGTGAATAGTGCTGCACTAAACATACAACTGCTTCATGGTGAAATGATTTATTTTCCTTTGGTCGTATACCCAGTAACTGGATTGCTGGGTCCAATGGTATTTCTATTCTTAGTTCTTGAGAAATCTCCAAACTGCTTTCCACAGGGGCTGAATTAATTTGCATTCTCACCGACAGTGTATAAGCATATAAGGAGGAGGAGAGAGGAGAGGGAAGACATTTTTACAGCAGTGCAAGAAAATGAGAACTGGGTTCATTTCTTATCCTGCTTTCTGGGATACTCTATCAGCTCCTCTCAGAATACTTAGAAAACCAAACCTTATAATGGAGACAAGTCAATCAAAATAAAAGCTGGTTCTTTGTATATGTCAATAATTGTGATATACCCATGTCAAGTCTGATAAAAAAGAGATAAATAAAACACATTAAAATTCCTTTGTCCCCAAGAAGCACCCAGCAAATATAGTAGGTGTGCATCCAAAGATCATAGAATTAAAGTGTTATCCTGTTAAGTCTTCATCCCCAAACCTACAAAGGTTGCATTGCTTTAGAGGTTTCTAGCCTTATATTTCATCATCCTATAATCTTTTCTTTTTTCCTTTTTTTTTTTAGACAGAGTTTTGGTCTTGTTGCCCAGGCTGGAGTGCAATGGAGCCATCTTGGCTCACTGCAACCTCCACCTCCCAGGTTCAAGTGATTCTCCTGTCTCAGCCTCTGGAGTAGCTGGGATTACAGGCATGTGCCACCATGCCCTGCTAATTTTTGTATGTTTAGTAGAGACAGGGTTTCTCCATGTTGATTAGGCTGGTCTCGAACTCCTGACCTCAGGTGATCTCCCCACCTCGGCCTCCCAAAGTGCTGTGATTACAGGCGTAAGCTACCGCGCCCGACCTTAATCTTTTTAAATAATAGAAACAGGCAAAATAGTCCAGCACTCACTGGTTTGAAATCCAGTGAAAGAAAAAAAAAAAATCTTTATGAATGGAGATGACAGCCTCTTCTGTAAAACAGGGAGTTCTTAACGAAGTGAAGTTTTGAAGATTTTTAAAGACTGGGAATAATTCTGTAACTTCATAGTTGTACTTTATTTTTACTCTTCCATTCACCCAAGCTCCTTCTTTCTAGCAAATCCCGTTTGTTGGCGGATAAAAATAAATCTGCAGAGTCTCCCGGAAGCTGCCCCATCAGCCTCATAGACAAGATGCCTGGTTTTCCTGCACTGCTACAGAAATGTCTTCCTCCTCCTCCTCCTCTGGCTCATGGGATCAAAGTCTTTTTCGTTCTTAGCTGGTTTTCCTTAGAGAAAAGCTGGAGTTCAGAGTTCAGTCCAGAGAGGGTGACTCCTTGAGGGCAGGCCTGGAGGCGTGGCGCGCCCGTCCCCTCCGTAGCCCCGGGAGAGCAGAGCCCCTGCTCTCTGCGCCGCGCGAGTCCGCCAGTAGCGCCGAGAAATCCGTTACCAGGCGGCTGTGTCCCCAAGGGCCATTCAGGGCGGAAGGGAACAGGGAAAACCGCTGTGTTGTTTCCCCGGCCCTGTGGGCTGGGTGCGCGGCGGGTCAGGTTACAGACAGGTGAGGCTGGCAGTTGGGTGAGCTGCGGGCTCCAGGGCATCCCTGGCCAGACGCGCCCCCGCAGCACCCGGCAGCTGGCACACGTCTGACGACCTCCTGGAGCAGGGCGATCGCAGGGACACTGGAGGCTGTGCCGGTTGTCCTGGGCGCACCCGAACAAGGTCTCGGGAAGGGCAGCGCGCCCCCCAATGTGAGCACAACTGCTTTAGAAACTTGGCACCTTTTACCAACTCCCCCTCCTCTTCTCCCTCTCCCCTCCAGACATAAAGGTTAATCGGAACGGACAGATATAATAATAAATGCAAAGCTTTCCTCCCTCCCCCGGTAGGGACGGCGAGAAGATGTAGCCGATGTTCACTATGGTGGCTTCCTGGAAAGGTATTTCCTAGCCTCAGAATTTGGGGATCGGGTGGTTAGCGGGAGGCAGTGGTGGGAGTGGGAGAGGATTAAGGGCTTGTTTCGAAGCTGCATTTGCATAATATGCTCCTGGCTTCTGTTTCTATTGTGTGTTTAGTTGGGGTGAGGGGGCTTTCGGGGTGCAACGTCTTGGGATTGAAGCTGCTTTGGCGGGGCAAGCCTTGTTTTTCTTAGATTTTATACTAGTCAGAAAAATAACGTGTTCTAAAGATGTAACGTGTTCTAAAGAGGCCGAATTTTAAAATTTATTTTTACTGTTTATGGGGGTATTGTAGCTGATGGATGGCTTAAGCCCCTAAGCCCCCCCCCCATTATTAATAATTAGAGTCCTTGGAAGCCTCCCTCCGCCTTCCCTTCTGACCGCCCAGATTTCTCCAAGCCCCGGGAAGGCTCCACAGGGTCCAGAGGAACTGAGCCATTTTCTGGCTCGTCTGAGACAGATCCACCGGGCGGGGGAGGGGGGACAACTTGTGGGAGGCCCCAACTCACCGGAGGGGTGCCCTGCGAGGCAAACCTGGGGTTTATCTCGAAGAGCTCACCTCGAGGTGTAGGTGATGGGGGAATGGGAAGGGGGTGGATTAAAATATGTTCTTCTTTTTTTAAAAAGAGGAGGGGGAAGAACAGACTTTAAATTCTTTTGCAAACATTCATGCTTAAGGAAGGGCTGGAACAGGCAGCCCCGGCCGCCGGAACCGGTCGGACAGGTAGCGAGCTTGTTGACACCGTTATGTTGCAGGGCGCATGCTCACTCCCAAGTTTCCTGGTGCCTTTTCTATTTCACCTTATGAAACTTTTTCCCCGGCGTGGTCTCACCCGCGATTTAAGGCATAGGTGTCGCCAAGCCCGGAGGCTGGGAGTCGCCAGGCGTGCGGGGGAGAGGCCTGGGCCGCGTCGCGGAGGGGGGTGGAGGAGGGCAGGCGAGGCGGGAAGGTGGGCTCTGGCCGCCGGGAGTCGGGGACCGAGACGCCGCCGTCGCCCCTAGCGGGGAGCAGCCGGGAGGAGGGGGCTGCAGCCGGGAGAGGGGACCCCACCATGCCCAAAGTCTTCCTGGTGAAGAGGAGGAGCCTGGGGGTCTCGGTCCGCAGCTGGGATGAGCTCCCGGATGAGAAAAGGGCAGATACCTACATCCCAGGTGAGCGCGCAGGGGCCGGGCCTGGGCGCTGGGCTCCCGGGGTGGGGGAAGGGGTGGCGGGTCTTCTCTGCTCTTCGTCAGGGTCGGGTTCCCCACCTCATCCCCCTCTTCCGGGGGGCACGCGGGGGTCTTCCAGGCGGGGGAGGGCGCGCAGTGAGGGACTGGGATGCCCGGGACTCTCGGCGTCCCCTTCCCCCTAGTGGGAGCCTCTAATTGCCCGGCGGCGGGACCGTTGCCTGCGGCGCGGGCCGAGGTGGCCCAGGAAAGAGAACGAAAGCTAGCAGGGGTTAGCCCCCAATCTCACGTCCTCATGGGGGTGCACAAAGGCCCACCAACCCTTCTGGGGGTAGCTGGGGAGAGATCAGATCCGCCTCCCCCGCCCCGAGAGGAAACTTGGCGCGCGGGGTTTTCCGCCGCCCGTGGCCGCCCAGTTCCTCGTGGGAGCCGGGGCTGGGACCGGGAAGAGGCCCCGAGCACCCCAAGCTAGCTCGAGGGGCCGATTCGGGGCTTACTCGCCCACCCCCGCGACGTTGCCCACTTGGCGAGGTGCCCAGGTCCGGGGCGGGGCGGCGGCGGCACCGCCCGCAGGTCAAACTGCCGCGGGCTTGCGGGCTGACGCCGAGTGTGTGTGTCGGGGTGCGGCCCCTCCCTCCACAGAGGGCCTGGGCAGCCTGCTCCACGACCCCCCCGAGGACTGCCGCAGCGACGGTGGCAGCAGCAGCGGCAGCGGCAGCAGCAGCGCGGGCGAGCCTGGAGGCGCCGAGAGCAGCTCGTCCCCGCAAGTCCCCGAGCGCGAAACCCCCGAGCTCGGCTACGCTGATGGCCCCGAAGGACACCTGGCGGCCAAGCAGCGCCCGGTTGCCAGGTCAAAAATCAAGGTACTGTGTCGACTCTGCCCCCGCCGCCACAAGCACCACGCCCTGGCGTCGGGCTCCCGGGGCCCGCGCCCCTCCCTATAGTGCCCGCCCGCGCAACCCGGCACCCGCGCCCTGAGCGCACCAGCAGCGCGGCTCCTGCACCTGCCCCTGGGCCGCGGCCAGGGCGCCTCTGCGCGTCCTCCCGCCCGCGGGATAGCCGTTGCGCAGGGGCTGCCGGATCCCGTTGTGGGCTCCAGTCAGCCCGGGTGGCCCCGCCTGATGCCGAGTGCGGCCTCTGGAGCTGCGGAAAAGGCACAGGTATCGCTGCTTTCCGCCAGCAGCCCATTCTGTGCGCTAGGCCTCTGGAATAACCAAGGCCGTCGGGGGTTCACGAGGTCGGAAAGGAGGCCAATGCGCTCTCAGAAATTTCACCCCGTGGGACACAGTTCCTGGCCCCGCGGTTCCTAGAGTACACCTCCCATGCTTGTGTTATTGGACTTGGGCGGCAGCTTAGCACATAGTGGGCCTCTTCCAACACGAGCGATTCCCGGTGTGCCAGACTGGAGGCCCCTGCTCGGCACTTTAGATCTGTCATCTTTCCAAGCTTGAATTAAATGATGGGTAAAAGGGTTCAAATGCAGATTTCCCGAGCGCCCCTACCACAGTAGATTGGAATGTTTGCTCCCATCTACGGTGGCGCTTCGGGGTCCCCTCGAGCATTCTGGACGCCCACCTGAGCTTTCCTGGGTTGAACTTCCATGATGGTCTGCTCAAAGGTATCGGATACCCACCAACATTTAGGAATCCCATTCCACTGACTCAGCCAGCTGCAGCAAGGCGGGTGATGGTTTATAATCACTTGACCCCACTTCCTAGCCTGGTGGGCCGAAGTGCGACGCTGTGCACACCCTAGGCCCCCTGTGGAGGTGGTAATTCCAGAGCGCTCCGGTGCCCTCCCGCCACCCAGATCCGGGGCTTGGGGGCAGTGGGGAGGGAGAGCCCCGGCTTTACTGTGGATTGAGAAAGCAGCCCTCATTTTCCTGGGAGAGGCCACCCCCACTCCCCTATGCACATTCCATATTCCCAGGGTTTGTCTCCGGGGGTGGGCTGAGGCGCATTTGGTTATGAATCGAGGCTTGAGGCTTCAGCTGGCATCCCAAGGAAAGACTTCTTTAAAGAAGAAGCTGCCGACGCCATGCGGGCGGGCAGCCTAGCGGTAAGTGTGAGTCTGAGGTTCAAAGTCAACTGGCCTGAGGCTCTTCTGGGCCAGGTGGAGTTAAGTGGGAGGGAACAATTTGCCTGAGGCTGGTAGCTCTGCCCTTCGGGAAATTCTACAAAGTGTCCCACTTGCATATTTATCACCAGGCTGGAAGGACAATTGCAACGCTGTTTTGGGAGTCTCTGCAGGTAGTTTGCCCCTCTGTCCTGCAATTGCCCAGATTCCCCTGGAGACAAAGTGACAGATTCTCTTCGTCTCTTAACCAACATTTTAGGCAGTCTCTTCTGCCTCAGGCACACACAGCCGTTGGAATCCCGGATTTAGGGAAAACGTAAACCAATCTGATTTCCTAGATTAATTGCTTGGGTGCTGGGGGAGGGGGGTGGGGAGGCACAGTTTGCTCCCATACCATGGAAAGAAGAGAGTCTTCTTTCCATAGTTTCCAGGGGAGTTTTTATTTACTGGGATGTTTAGGTTCTTTCTTTCCGCCTCTACCCACCAAAAGGAGGCATTTTGGTGTTAATATGCTCCAAGCCTCCAGAATTATCAGCTGCAGCATTGGCAGTTTTCAGATAACTGACCAAATTCCCTGTGACTTAGCACGTTGCATAATTCTAAAGTTCCTTCCGAGGCGTGCTGAACTCAGAGTTTTTCTAAGAATTAGTTTCTTCAGTCAGTGGGCTCCCAGGACCACAAGCAGGGCAGGTTTAAGCCACTGCCTAGCACTGAGAGGCAAACCCCGCCCATCTAACACCTGGGGTGTTCAAGGCAACAGGAGGTAAAAATGCTTCCATCCTGGTGTTCCTTCTAGCATCATCTGGCAGTAACGGTTAAGCACGTATGCTCTGGCTTTGTTGCTTCTTAGCTGTGAGACTTTGAGCAAGTGGCTCACCCCTCTGGGCCCCAGATTCCTTATCTGTAAGATGATAATAATGATTCCTACTTCATAGCATTGTGAGGATAAATGTGTGGAGGGTAGAACCTGGTATGTGCCCAATTACTGTAGATAGTATTTGGGTCAATAGGGAGACACAAACATTAACTCTGCTGCAGGACAGTGAATGTGAAACCTGAATTCCAAGCAAAGACGTGATCAATTTGAGTAGGGAAGGTGCCCTGATGTGGATTTGAAGGCCGTGGAGAAGGGCGTGGGTGGGCTTGAGGGCAGTGTGGGCTGAGTCCCACAACTGGAGCATACAAAGTAGGAAGCTCTGGTGGCTGAAGACAGGAAACCAGCCTTGCTGGGATCAGGGACAGAGTTGGCAGTGAAGAACTGGAAATGTAACCAGAACAGGGTGAGATGGTGAAGGGGCCAAGCCAAGAAGTGTGGGTGCTCCTGGCAGAGGAGAAGCTCTGGATGATTTGTAGGAAGGAAACCGTCAATACGGTCTCTCTCTCTCTTTTTTTTTTTTTTTTGAGATGGAGTCTCGCTCTGTCACCCACGCTGGAGTGCAGTGGCACAATCTCAGCTCACAGCAACCTCTGTCTCCTGGGTTCAAGACATTCTCCTGTCTCAGCCTCCCGAGTAGCTGGGATTACAGGCATCTACCACAATGCCCAGCTAATTTTTGTATTTTTTTAATTAGCCCTGCTTAAGCAGGATGTAAAAAATTTGGTTATAAACTCATAATTGTTCTTCTCCACAGAAATCTGTAGTAAAAGGTGAAAGATTTATTCGTTATGAAGAGAAACCAGAGCATAACAATTTTTTTTTAATTTTATTGCGTTTTAGGTTTTGGGGTACATGTGAAGAACATGCAGGATTGTTGCATAGGTACATACATGGCAATGTGGGTTTCTGCCTTCCTCCCCATCACCTATATTTGACATTTCCCCCCATGTTATCCCTCCCCAACTCCCCACCCCCTGCTGTCCCTTCCCTAGTTCCCTCCCACAGACCTCAGTGTGTGATGCTCCCCTCCCTGTGTCCATGTGTTCTCATTGTTCAACTGTTCAACACCTGCCTATGAGTGAGAACATGGGGTGTTTGATTTTCTGTTCTTGTGTCAGTTCGCTGAGAATGATGATTTCCAGGTTCATCCATTTCCCTAAAAAGGACACGAACTCATTGTTTTTTATGGCTGCGTAGTATTCCATGGTATATATGTGCCACATTTTCCCTGTCCAGTCTATCAATGATGGGCATTTGGGTTGGTTCCAAGTCTTTGCTATTGTAAACAGTGCCACAATGAATATTCGTGTGCACATGTCCTTATAATAGAACGATTTGTAATCCTTTGGGTATCTACCCAGTAATGGGATGGCTGGGTCAAATGGAATTTCTATTTCTAGGTCCTTGAGCAATTGCCACATTGTCTTCCACAATGGTTGAACTAATTTACACTCCCACCAATAGTGTAAAAGTGTTCCCATTTCTCCGTATCCTCTCTTGCATCTGTTGTTTCCTGATTTTTTAATGATCGCCATTTTAACTGGTGTGAGATGGTATCTCAATGTAGTAATTTTTGTGTTTTTAATAGAGACAGCATTTCACCTTGTTGGCTAGGCTGGTCTTGAACTCCTGAGCTCGGGTGATCCGCCCACCTAGGCCTCCCAAAGTTCTGGGATTATAGGTGTGAGCCACCTCGCCTGGCCAATCAGCTTCCTCTTAATGGCTGTGGTCATGGATACATTATCTCTTCCAGGCCTCAGTACCCTGACCTGTAAAGTGGAGGACTCAGAATCAGCCTCCCAGAAGAGCTGCATAGATTAAATGCGATAGTGGGTGTCAAGTGTTTCGTTTTCTGTGCATGTGTATAAACTGCCCAAGAGGAAGTTACCTGACAGTGACAAACAGCAAGTTTTAACACCCAATACTTTGTTGGCAGCAGTAAGGAAATGGGATTCACTAACCTGAACGTGTTGATATGTGGATCTTGAAAAGGAGTCTGAGGTGCAGGTTAGGAAATGTGGCTGTCCTTTCCCAGCCTATCTGCCTCGTGAGGGTGTGCCTCAGGGCAGGTTGTGAAATTGTGTCTTTACTACTGAGAGTTTTGTAATTTACCAAACAAATAGCGGTGAGAAGATGATGTACATTCCAGAGCGTGTGCATGGCATGCCCTTTTTGTGCTGGATCCATCTGCAGGTCTCCACCTGCGGGGTAGAGAAACCCAGGAAATACTAATCACTGTCCTTTGGAGGCTTATTGAAAGTAATTAACTCTGAAGTTAACCGACTTGGCTGATAGGACCCAGGTCCAAGTATGGACCACCAAGTGAATCTGTCCTCTCACCTCATCCTATTCTGTTCTTTTTTTTTGAGACAGAGTCTTGAAATGCTGCTTGGGCTGGAGTGCAGTGGAGTGATCTCAGCTCACTGCAACCTCCACCTCCCTGGTTCAAGTGAGTCTTCTGCCTCAGCTTCCAGAGTAGCTGAGATTATAGGTGCCTGTCCCCATGCCCAGCCAATTTTTTGTATTTTTAGTAGAGACGGGGGTTTCCCCATGTTGGCCAGGCTGGTCTCAAATTCCTGACCTCGTGAGTCACCCGCCTCAGCCTCCCAAAGTGCTAGGACTACAGGCGTGAGCCACCCCACCCAGCCCTCTTTTTGCCCTCTCCCGTGGACTCATCAAAAGAAATTAAGTTCAGATTCTTTCAAAAGTATTCTTGGCCTTTTATCCGGCTCTCTAATGAGTCCTATAGTGGAGCAGATGTGTGTTTATGAAGTAGTCCCTGTACCACATCAGTTTTTATTATTTAGAATCTCAAAAACATAGTCACTATGTATCTGCCACCCAGCCCCAACAACAATTAACCATGGCTAGTCCTGCCCAGCCACACCCCACCCCCTTGCCCCACACATGATTTTGAAGCAAATCTAGGACATCATACCATTTCAACCATAAATAGTTCAGAATGTGCATTTAGTGGATAAAGACCAAAATTTGTGATCATACCCACATTATCAATTGTGTTCACATTACTAATTGTCTCATAAATTCATACATTTTCCCTCTAGTTTGCTTAATCTGGTCCACAAAATGTCCACACATTGTAATTGATGGGCATGTCTTTTGAGCCTCTTTTAATTTCATACGTTTTCCATCCATCAAGTTAATTGTTGAAGAAACGGGTGATTTGTTTTGTAGAGTTCCCAACAGTCTGGATTTTGCTGAGCGCATCACCGTGTGTCTAACATTCCTCAGTCCCCTAGTTTTCTCCAAACAGGTAGTTGGATCTGCAGCTGCAGCATCCAGTATCACACGTGACTATCACAGCCATAGTCAATATCACACCAGGTGCTGTGGCTCACGCCTGTAATCCCAGTACTTTGGGAGGCCAAGGTAGGCGAATCACCTGAGGTCAGGAGTTCAAGACCAGTCTGGCCAACATGGTGAAAGCCCGATTCTACTAAAAATATTAAAAAATTATAGGGGCGTGGTGGCACACTCGTGTAATCGCAGCTACTCAGGAGGCTGAGGCAGGAGAATCACTTGAACCCGGGAGGCAGAGGTTGCAGTGAGCCAAGATTGTGCCACTGCACTTCAGCCTGGACAGCAGAGAGACCCCGTCTCAAAATAACAATTAAGTTCCTCAGTCCCACTAGCAACATTTCAAGTGCTCAGTAGTCATGTGTGACTAGTGGCTACCGTACTGGACAATACACAATAGAATTTTTCTGTCACCACAGAAAGTTCGATTGGACAATGCAACTCTCCCTGCTTGGTCAGCTCAATTTTTTTTTTTTTTTTTTCTGAGATGAAGTCTCACTCTGTCACCCAGGCTGGAGTGCAGTAGTGCAATCTCAGCTCACTGCAACCTCTGCCTCCAGGGTTCAATCAATTCTTCTGCCTCAGCCTCCTGAGTAGCTGGGACCACAGGCATGCACCAACATGTCCAGCTAATTTTTGTATTTTTAGTAGAGACGAGGTTTCACCATATTGGCCAGGCTGGTCTCGAACTCCTGACCTGTGATCCACCCACCTCAGCCTCCCAAAGTGCTGGGGATTACAGGTGAGAGCCACCATGCTTGGCCAGCAACATTTTATTTTAGCTAGAATATGTCACGGTGTGGGGCATCTGTTTTCATCAAGAGGTACTGAGTATTTTGTCACCTCTCTTTTTCTGACGTTAGCAGCTGTTGACGCTCAGGGCCTAAATATTTTGGCTTATTGGGTGTTCTAGAACAGCAATAGTCTAATTCTGTCCTCTGCTTATTAACCTGTGTATCTCTATGGAGACATACTTTGCCTCATCTACTGCTTGGTTTCCCAGCGGCACAGTTCATTTATGAAAGGCAGAATAATGCTGGATTCCCTTTATTTACCTTTCTTTATAAGATAATCACTTGTTAACCAGAATTCTCCATCGACGGCTTATCAGTTCTTCCTTTTCTTTCTCTTTATTTATTTTCTCTTTTGAGACAGGGTCTCACTATGTTGCCCAAGCTGGTCTCCAACTCCTGGGCTGAAGCGATTCTCCTTGAATCCCAAAGTGCTAGGATTATAGGCACATACCACTGGGCCTGACTCTCAATCTGTTATTTCATTTTGTTTGTTTCATTTTCATTTTGTTGTGAATATAAGCTGTTTTTAAAGACTAATTCATTTGATATTTGGAAGGGAATATAAGCTCCCTCCCTCACTCCTTTCCTCTTGTTCTTTGTTTCCCAAGACAGGCTCGAATACTCCTCCCCCTGTCCTCATTGTAACCTGCTGCCCATTTTTCTGGCACACATTTGGCCAACAGACTTCTCTTTTCCACTCTAGACCCATCAGAGCCAGGGAACACTTCCCACTGGGCTCGTATTCCCCAGCAACCAGTGAGGTAGTGCCTGAGTCACAGAAGGACATATGTCAACATAGAACAAGAATACAGGCAGGGGAAGAAGTCAGCAGTTCCTAGACATGAGCATTTGAAGGAAAACACAGAAAGCAGGAAGAAAAGGGATACTGGAAAAATGCTTAGAATGGTTTTTTTTTTTTTCTTTTACAGTTATTTCTTTTTTTTTTACTTTTTATTTTTTATTTTTATTTTTTATTGCATTTTAGGTTTTGGGGTACATGTGCAGAGCATGCAATACAGTTGCATAGGTACACACATGGCAGTGTGTTTTGTTTGCTTTCTCCCCTTCACCCACATTTGGCATTTCTCCCCAGGCTATTCCTCCCCACCTCCCCCTCCCACTGGCCCTCCCCTTTTCCCCCCAATAGACCGCAGTGTTTAGTACTCCCCTCTCTGTGTCCATGTGTTCTCATTTTTCATCACCCGCCTATGAGTGAGAATATGCGGTGTTTCATTTTCTGTTCTTGTGTCAGTTTGCTGAGAATGATGTTCTCCAGATTATTCCATGTCCCTACAAACGACACAAACTCATCATTTCTGATTGCTGCATAATATTCCATGGTGTATATGTGCCACATTTTCCCAATCCAGTCTATCATCGATGGGCATTTGGGTTGGTTCCAGGTCTTTGCTATTGTAAACAGTGCTGCAATGAACATTCGTGTGCATGTGTCCTTATAGTAGAATGATTTATAGTCCTTTGGATATATACCCAGTAATGGGATTGCTGAGTCAAATGGAATTTCTATTTCTAAGGCCTTGAGGAATCGCCACACTGTCTTCCACAATGGTTGAACTAATTTACACTCCCACCAACAGTGTAAAAGTGTTCCTATTTCTCCACATCCTCTCCAGCATCTGTTGTCTCCAGATTTTTTAATGATCGCCATTCTAACTGGCGTGAGATGGTATCTCAA